CTTGTAATGAGAATAAAAACCTAATAAAAACACTAATAAAACATTGTCAGTTTTATGTCACATTTTTTTTCAGTTTAAATCATAATGGGACATAAAAACCTCAAAGATGTATCAAAACTTATTAATAATGCTCATAAAAATGTAATAAAAACTTAATTTTATTTAAGCTTGTTAAGAAAAAGCTTGTTGTACTCTTTTAACCATGTAATAAAAGCCTTTTTCTAGGCAAGCTTGTTAAGAAAAGCTTATAAACATAAAATAAAAACACTTTTTGTTTTGTTTGTTTATGTTAATATAGGAGTCAAAATAAATGAGCTTCTGTAGGTCACTTTTTTTTAGTTGAGACCTAAGAAATGTTAGTGCTTCAGAATAGAACTTTCCCTCAGGAAAATGATAATGGAATATAAAAATTGTTTTAACTTATTTACAAACTGCAAGTTTCAGTTTAAAAGTCACCAGAGATAAGGGGTCATCAAAAGTCCTGCACCTCTCTGGGAACAAGTATTGATGAGCATGTTGCAGGAACAGGGATGTAAAGACAAGTGAGGCATTTTTTTGATCATGGGGACTATGCAGCAGGAACAGATCATAAGCAAAACAAACACAAAAATTAATGGTGTTAGGACCCTAACTAACCAAGCTTGCCATCCTCCGGCTGTGAGTCAAGACCACTAGTCCCATCCCTTAGGCTCAATGACATCATCAGCTTTCATGTCGGCCAGGAGTTTATTCAAGTGTTGTACAGTTTGAGTGATGTTCCCGGAAGCATCAGGAATGCAAGTGCAACAAGAATCCCCAAATCACATGACAGAGACCACCCTGGGAAGCGAAAAGCAGGTCCAAAGCCGTTTTATGTTGTAAGAGCATGTTTCTGGTGGCGATGACGAAGGGACCCAGGGCTGAGAATCCGTCCTCCACAATCTCCGTCAGATGAAGCTGGTCTAGCCTCGTATGAAGCTGGTCAATGTGATGTGCATTATTCACCGTCCTCCACCCCACTCAAGAACTTCACCCCGCCTGAGATCACCTCAGACCTCTTTTGTCGGTACAGGGGTCTGGGCTCCGCCATGAACCACGGGTAGTGGTGGGTGTTATACAACAGAGAGTCCAGTACCAAAATGGCAGGTCTCAGATCCACTAGGGCACACGTACCAGACCACAGCGGGGTTAAATCCTGAAAGTAGTGGAAACCACAAAGCCAGACTGAATCTTGATGACTTCCTAATCCACAACCGCCAGGCCACACAATAAGCCGAGAAACATGACTGACATTATGGAATTTTAAAGAAGACTTGGCTTTGGATGCCTTTCCTGGGAGGTGATACCCAGAAGCATCCCAGGGCTGTGCTGTAGAAGTGGCGCTCAAGATGCGCTTACATCCCTGTGTGGTGCCAAGAAAAACTCTACTCTTGTGAAAAGGCATGTGAAAATAGACCGGTTGAGTCACCTGAGAAAAGTAAGGATGAACTGATCCTAATGACTCAAAAGAGATGGGCATCTTTAGTCTTCAGAACTGAACTAGTTGTTGCTCTTAGGTTGGTGTTAGCTAAAAATTTACAAGGCTCTGTGATATTAGCTCTAACTAGCATCCATCCATTTTTTGCCGCCTGGTATGGTGGTGTAAGGGCCATTAAAGTGCATAATACCTCTGACTCATTTAAAGGGTGTGGTCGAACAGGCAAAGACATGGCTCCATCCTGGGGGAAAAGAGTGCAGGCATAGCACGAGGAGTTCACCCGTGCAGCAAGAAGATAAGTTCGCACCACATTCCACCACATATTTCCAAGCTGGCGGTGGCTGTCCACATCATGAACTGCAGAGATGTAATCAGAGCCTAACAGGTGAAAAGAGGGGGATGGGTTCTGCAAAGATGACGTTACTGTAAGCCAGAAGMGGGCACAAGGGTCTGTCCCTGAAACATAGGCACATAGGATGAAATATCCCTGATCACTTATCTGAGCATTCTGGAGTTGAAACATATAATGGCAGGTGAGGTGTTATTAACTTATCACTGGATTTAACTCCTTCAGTGTCTTTTTATAATTCCAATCAGTCTGCTGTGGTCTTGATAGCATACACCCATTTATCACAGGTGGGACATTGTTTATAGGTGTATTTATAACAAACATATATGTCTGCCCATCCCAAACTGCGACTGTCTTCACACTTAAAATACACACAAGGGTCAATTAACACAGTGGAGGTTGTATTTGCAACGATAGTAATGTTAGGCCCAATGGTGCAACTGGGCTTCCATTGTGCGCGCGTCTTGGCAGAGTAAAATGCTMGGTTGGGACCTGTGAATTGAAATGTCTTATGTACCCGAATTTGTTGTCTGGCAGCCACTAACACCGCTTTACCTGTAATAAGAGGCCAGAACAACCAGTACAATTGGAATACCACTAGGAAAGGATATTGCTGTATAGAAGACACAAGGTGGTGTTGCAACCAGTTCATCTGATTATCTTCTTCCTCGCCGTGGGTGTTGATGTGTCACAGATGTCACACATGGAGGTGGCCTCACCATGCCAAAAAGGGCGTGTCTCAGACTGTCCATGCTGTAGCGGCCACATCTGGGCTCCTCCATCTCGAAATGGACACGTCTTGGCTCCATCGCTGGCTCCATCACTCACTGGTCCACACACGTTGGTCACAGCTCAGCGCAGGGTCTCCCCTCCTGGACYATTCTTCACTGCTTGGATTGCAGAGTCACCAGGGGCCCCTGAACACTAATATGAGTAGGGTCATTGAGTTCTTCACTGGGTTTGAGACAAACGGRCCCTAGTTGATGACCGAATCCCTTTGTAAACCAGACTTTTCCCACTACTCCACTTGTTGAGGGGTGCAGCACAGTTTGTTCAGGGGTGTGGCATGCTCTGCAGCTTGCAATGTGAGAGATGAACCCACGTCGATCGTTCAGCAACTTTCACTGTTGTTGATGTTGTCAGCAAGACCTGGAATGGGCCCTCCCCACGTGGACTGGTCCAGTTCTTTCTTTTGATAACCTTTATGTAAAACCAGTCACCTGGATTTACTGTTGCATGGTTTCCTGGAGGAATACAGAATCAGGAGACGGTAATCTTGCACTGGACACTTTTTTTATAGAGTCTGCAAGCGTCTGTCCTTCATTTGCCTCCTGTAAATCTGATCTAATCACAGGAAGCCTGTAGGGCAGGGGTGTCAAACTCCAGTCCTCGAGGGCCGCTATCCTGCATGTTTTAGAGGTTTTCTTGCTCCAACACACCAGATTTTGATCGC